ACTTTGGCCAGTGTGCTGTGGAAGAGCTAAGTTGCGCTACTCAGGGATCACTTTGGCCAGTGTGCTGTGGAAGAGCTAAGTTGCGCTACTCAGGGGTCACTTTGGCCAGTGTGCTGTGGAAGAGCTAAGTTGGGCTACCGGGCGTACTGAAGTCCAAAGTTCTAAAAATCTAACAACCTCACAGTCCTACGGGTGGGGAAAAACAAAGTTTCTCGGGTCCTCCACGCAAATGAATGTCCCAGAATACTTCAGGATTGGCATGGCTCCAATTGTCCAAAGCAAGCTCCAAGCTCACACGTTGGGTGCGGGGAACCTAAGAAACTCCAATCAACGTCCTGACTTGAGCAAATTCAGGGCGCCGATGAACCACAAAAGGCAGTACGCCAATGCATGCTGTATACCATATTCTCGATCTTGTGGGCGGATCATCTCAATGGTCCACTTGCATTGAAGTGAACCTGTGAACAGTCTAGCAAAAACAACACTCGGACTCCGTCTGCCACTGTGCCATTGTGATCAATGGGGATCAATGGGTGCACTACGACAGTCCGCCAATGCAACCAACAGGCGCATGTGTGTCTTCTTACGTCCAATTGAATTCCTTGTCATTGCTGAAGCAAGACTTCCATAACATGGAGGTGCGTGGAATAGCGGTGAAACCTGTGCGCTGTACAAAGCTAAGACCAAATTCTGGCAGCTGCAAGCTGAAGCAATCCTGGGTACCATTAAAAAACGGACCCCTATTCAAAAAATAACATGTCGGAAACCCCTAAGGCGGCTTATACTTGCTTTTTGAGTTACCGCCCTTTACAACCGCTACATAACTACCAACATGGCCGATTTTGGTATAGCTTTAAACAAATATTAGGTTCCAAAAACAACCCGAACTGCCCACCTCTGTCCACCCTGTCTATCCACCATGACACGCCGCATTTACACCAGCAGGTTTTCCTTCCCCAAATGGCACGGACTCACCTTTCGAAAGCCTTAGTTGGTCCATTGAAGAATCAGAATCACTGTCTTAATAAAGGTTTTTGTAAGGGGAAAAGGAAGACCCTGCGATCTGCAGGTGTTTTTTTTCAATTTTTGATATGAGTTTATATAATGATAAAGGATTATCTAAGGTCTAACATTTTCCTGGGTGACTTTTTGGTTAATCAATGATTCAAGCACCCTCCCACTGACCCTCTTTTGGACAACCCCGATTTCAGGGACCCCCTATTTAAAAAAAGTGCACCCGAGTTTTTGTTAATAGGGGGGCCCGTGTTTTTCAATAGGTGGAAGGGATTACACCTTCAGGTGTCATCCTTTACTCATGCAACTTAGGGAGCTACATACCTTCTGAGGAGGTAGGGCTGGGATGGATTGGGGGTGAGAACTAATTCGGTCAGAAAACGGTTCAGTCCCTACTTTAGGATGGGCTGTTGGATTGAAGTGCGAAATTGATCTAACTCCCGTCCCCTACAAAAAGGATCATGCAAAACGCCCCCTGGGCCCTGGACAAACATATATATATATATATTGTGATGTATCACATCTGGTTTTTGCCAGCTGCCCCAAGGAAAGCAAGTCTGTCAGCCACAACATGCCGAGTAGTGCAACTCGGGGATGGGCTGCTCAGGTTGATGCAGTCAGCTACCAAGCTTGCCAAGTCCAATCTTTTGACCTGTACATGTCCAAACCAAAACTTCTCCCACCGCAGATCGACTCGCAACACGCAACAGCACTCAACCCATGACATGTTCCCAGAGGATTCACTTCGCTTCTTATGATTCTTATGTACGAGTAGCTCCCTCTTGAAATCTTATTTGGTCAATCTGGCGGAGGGTGGTGAAACTGCGAATGCCTGGGTCCGAGCGCATGGGGCATTTTCAAAAATGGGAGCATCATTTGTCCGCCGATTTCTGAGTGTCTGATGTTGCATTCTTCTGTTGCAGTGGTTTATGTCCAATTCGCCCAGGCACTCACAGGGGCAAAGCCACATGCAGAAAGGCTAAGATCAAACAAAAACAAACGTTGAGTTTCATGATGCATGTGGGTGTGGCTGACCAATCATGTAGACTGTTCATTGTAGACTGATAAATGAACCCTAGTTTTTACAATTGGATGATTTCATATTGGTGTTATTCATCTCATTCATGAGCGCCTACACTTGAATCGCACCCTGTCAAAGTCCTTAGTGTAGACTCTTGACTCTTGATTCATCAACCCCCCCCACTTGGATTGAAACATCTCTTCATCTGGGCAGCTCTTGTAGTCAAGAGTCTACATTACAGGGGCTCAAGGCCATCAAACACCTCATCCTTAGCTGCGCACCTACCGAAAGGAGGCAACCTCTCGACGAGGGGCTCCGAGCGATCTCCCTGGCGCGGAGCTGGAGCGATGACCTGAGCCATCAAATCTCGACAGCAAAGTTGACCCCACCAGCATCCTCCAGCTGCAAGGGAAACGTCAAACTTCGTCTCGGGGCGAAGAAAACTCGCGGCTTTTCGTTGTGGAATCACGCCCCAAACTGAATAACAGCCACCCACGACACAAAGCATCCTCTGTCAGGTAGTGGGAACAGCTTGGAGGAAAGGGATAGAACCTAATTAATTAGTGGCCAACCATGGAGGTCCCAGGTCAAACTTGCATAGCCTCAACAGATTGGAAACTCCATGCATTCGATCTCCCTATTAGCTTTAAACAATTATGGGTGTCGAGATGTGCCAAGCTATGCAGGTAAAGTTACACGTACGAAGAGAGAGGGAGAGAGAAAGATAGAGAAAGGGTGAGAGAGACAAAGAGAGAGGCATGATGTAAGTGGTCGGTGAGTATATAACATTATACAACACGCTTAACACGTCCCGCACACGCAACCTTCTCACTCTTGACGAGCTCAGGAGAGTTCCTCTGAGAGAGGTCTGGAGTCGTTTTGGATCAGGTGATTCGTTTCTGTGCAGGACTCCTTCGCAAGTTTACTGCCCCCAAATTGGCCCCGAACCGGTCGTTTCCACGCCTGTGTGGCTCAGCTCTGGCAAACGTGAAGAGACGCGACCTGACTACGTTGGCCGATTTGGCATCTGGACCTGGCCATTTCGGGCGACCTTGTTGAGAGCTAGGCGTGTCTTTTAAACATGCATGTTTAAACATGTGCCCAGCTTCACTGTCCTGACTCAAGGAGAGATCAGGAGAACCGGCATGCCATTCAGAGAGGCTTCCGCCCCTGGGGCTGCCCAGCTTCAAGCTCTCATGAGTTGCGCCCACCTCACGAACGTCTCCCACCTGGGTGTTGGTGCCTCATCTCGCTTCGAAAGGAGCGCTCCTCTGGGCGCAACCGCCGGGACTTGTGACATTGCGCGTCTAGAAGCAATGGCCTCCAACCTACTAGCGATGGATGGCCTCCAAAAACAACTAAAGCTTTGATGAATCTGCTGGCTTTAGGGCTGAGTTGTCTCACCCGAGGTTCTGTATATTATGGGTGCGTAATCCTTCTGTCCTGGACAGCCCATTGAGTACCCTCCTAATACCCACTGAGCTAATGTTCTTGTATCTGTTTATCTGTGGTGCTTCGTTACCACATCATAGACTGGCGGTCTTTCTGACCAAGTTCGGATACTGTGGGTGCCTGATGGACAGCACTCTGCAAATGATTATAACTCTTGAACGTGGTCGGGACTCATGCAACTACCACACCGCCAGCTTGCGAAAGAAAAGCCCTCGCCTTCCAAGATCCGGGGACATATGCAGGGAGCATTGCCATCATCGTCACATGGTGACACCTCAAGCAGCTCAAGCACCCACCCGCTACAGAAACATCGTAGACAAAAAAAATGAGAACAACCGTTGAACATGTAACCGTAACCCAACATAAACCCGACCAACAACTGCCTTCCACTGGCCAAACCGCACTTGCGAAACAACTTCTAGTATCATCTGCAGTCGCATGAAATTTGTGGCGATGTGGACCACTTCAGTGACCCGTCCCGTTCCTCCGTGGATTTGATGTGTCCCAGATTGCCCATCAAACAGGAGCCTGACCGGACCTCTTCTTGAGGTCTGGGAGAACTAGTTGAAACATGTTACATCGCAACAACTTGAGACTTCAACATACCTGTCCAGCAGCTGGATACCGCTGGCATCTACACACAAATATATATATATATATATATACACACATATATATATATAGCACACCTATAAATATTCTATATTTATATGATATATTTAATAAATAAAAAAATAAACAAACACAGTTTCCTGTGTTTCAATTTTTTGGATCTTTTTCGGGGCTGTTGCCCTGATCCTCTCCCAGCACTCCGAGTCCTGCCCAGGGAGCGGGGGAAAGCGATGCTCTTCTCGCCCCGCCAGGCCAGTGGGCCTCCGGCCTCGCATAGACTAAGCCGACAAGGGGAATCAGTCCAGTATGTTTGCAACAAACTGCCACATCTGCCCCAGCGTTTGTTCCCAAGTTTGTTGCGACTTTCTAGCTTCAAATTGTGAATGCGAGGTCCGACATGCGACCCAACATATTGCAAGGAATAGAGGGGTTGGCTAAAAGGACGCTCAAGACTGGCACAGCTAGGAAAATCAGTCCCAAGCTCCAACAATGTCTTTATAGAACAACGCACGGCATGAGCATGCAAACCAAACTAATTACAGTAGGTGCATTTGCGTATTGAGATGCTAATCATCCGAGGTAAACCACAACGTCCACAAATCCACAAACAAGACATAGAATCCATAGTGCCGCAGAACTCTTAGGGAGTCAGTGTGCCGATACTGCGTGTTTTTATTTTTTCTCTCTCTCTCTCTCTATGTTGGTGCTCTTGAAATTTCAGGGCAGTGTACGATGCTTGCTGCCCATACCAAGCACACAGATCTGCCACGCCTTTGGGCAGCTCCGGCAACGTCCAGTGTAGGCCCTGCAGCAGGACAAATTTCCCTCCAACCAAGCTTCTGCTTTCCCCACATGCCCATGACCAGCCAGAGAAAATCCCACCACTTCGTCTGACTTTCTCTTGAACAACAACCACCCGCAGCTGCATCCCACAGAAGAACAACAACCACCCGTAGCTGCATCCCACAGAACAGTGCAAAGAGCAGTTGTAAAGCGAATTCTTTCGGGTTGAGTGTAAGATTATTTCGTTTCAGAAGCGTGGCAAACGATGTTCATGGATTCAAAGTACCAAAAGGGGCGCCGTTCGGGAAGGAGGCATGGGGGATCATGGTGGATAGAGACTGTGCGAACCGCGAGCCTAGCTTTACAATATTATGTACAGTATATACAGTATACATAGCTTATATATATATATACTGATATATATATATATAAATAATGAGGGTTGCTCTTTTTGAGTGCTGTAGCAAGATGTGTGCGGCGGCATTTATTTGGTACTAAACTCAAATACACGATCTATTATGTGGGGGCCCTATCTCGTTTAGACTACTCAAGCAGGAGGTCATGTGACAGTATCTCTTTCACACTACTTTAGTAGCAAATCACACCATCTCGTTCAGACTACTTTAGCGTCATCAAACAAAAGTATCTCATTTATGTGGAGGCCCTATCTCGTTCACAAGCGAATACTGATGACGATAAACAAGCAAATAGAGCATGCCGTAATGCCGTAGACTACTTTAGTAAAACCTAAATAAAAGTGGTTGCTCATGTAGAAGTCAAGCTCCCAATGAGCACCATGCAAGCCAACATCACCCCCGACATTCGCCCACGGAACCATTCCAGGGTTGATTCATGAGGGGTCAGGGATGATTGGTCTTCCATTCGCTTCTGGACAATGTCTGCCCGCTTCGGGTGTCCGACACGTCCAACGGAGATATTGAAGCAAGCATTGCAGGTCGACCTCCTAGCAGTTCATCTCTACAAACAACTGCCCTCCTGATGCGTGCACCTCACACTCCTTGGGCTTGCGATGCACGCTCCCAGGCAGCTCCAGGCACGGTCTCTGGGTGGGGCGGTCTTTCGCGCTCTCGATGTGTGGCGAACGAAACTTGCGTGTAACTCAAGCCTCTTGGCGTCTGAATGCGGCCACCCCCCCAAAAGAAAACAAGGTGAAAGATGGTAGGAGGTGCTGCTTGCCCATGTTCGGGCTGTGAGATGCTGTGAGGTTTAAACGTTGGTATGTTCGCGGAGTGTCCCTCACCAGGGAGTTGCCTAGTGGCTGCTTTCAGTGGTGGTGGGGAGAGTGAGAGAGAGAGAGAGAGAGACAAACACAAAACACACAGAACACAAAGAACATATTGGAAGTGGTTGCAGGCTTTCACGAGAAACCACTGATTTTCGGAGTGTTTGTCTTGAGCACTGTGGCTGTCAAAAGGCCTGGAGCCATTTTCGAGGATTTTCCATTGACCGCAAGAATCATACGTAGGAGAACCGCTGCTTTGGCTTTCATGTACTTGTTGAGTCATACAAAGTTCTACACGTGGCCGTGGGACAACACCCCGCACACCGAACGAGCACCAAAATGGCCCGACGGTCCATGTTTGCAAACGCGCTTGGACCCATCTGAACTTGAACCCGTGTGCGCGGAGTACAGCAATGTTCGATGGAGGCAGAAACGGAGAGGAGGAGGCCCATCAAGTTTTGTCTATCAAGCCTGTAGTGGCCCAACAATACGGAAAGAACATGAAACCTCTCCAATTCTGTGAAAGCTGCCCATGCGTCTATCAGGGAGCTTGGGTGGGCTTAGGCCTTACCACACAAGTTGGATGGCACACTGCCCGCCTGACCAAGCGCTTCTTCTCTTCAAAGTGTTGATGCTCTCCTGAGCTGTGTCCACGAGCAGAAAGAGCCAGCACCTTGTTCCCTATCTTGGACATGTCGAACGCAGTTTTCGACGGATACACTCAGATTCAAGTGTTTGATAATGTGTGTGATCGTCTTGATGTGGCGAGCTTTTCCAAAAAGGACTTGGATAGTCTCTCAATCCTTTATCAGGTTTTAAGCTTGGCTCCATATAGCAAAACATGACCCATTTAACAGTCAGAATCACAACTCTCCATTTCCTCGCTCGCGGCCCTTCCTTCAAAAGAAAACCTCTCTGCCACTGCCGTGTTCAGTTCCTCAGTTCCTCAGTTCCGTCCATGTCAGTATCTTCAAATGTATGTTCTGGGGCAGCTTTTCTTGTTAACCCAGCTTGCCCTCGCCTGGCGGTTCGAACGTGTCCGTCGCAAAAGATCGGTCCAGGAGTGGACTTCGGTCTAGGGGTAGGTGCCCTCGCGCTTAGAGGACCCGTCAGCCATAGTGAGTTGACAACTCAGCCCACACATATGGAACTCTTGGTCAATATCTTGCGCCTCCTAGCCAACCTCCCAAATTCCAACCACTTTTCAAAGCACACGTCCTTTTGGAACTCTTTCGGGACCGGGGATGGAGGGGGTGATGGTTTCAACTGCAACCAAGCTGCCTCGGGGCCTCCCTTGACCACCACATCCAGGCGCTGCACGCTCACACTCCAGCGGGGTCGCTTTGGGGACGCCACTGGGCCCAACGCTTCAGAGCGCTGTCCTGAGGTCTGGACCTACCACTCGAGCGTCGAACAAAACCGGATGGACCCCTTACAAACGATATTCAGCCAGTAAACGGCTCTTGTTGTTGTTGTTGGTGGTGGTGGTGGTGATTGGTTGGAGTATATACAGTTATAGATAGTTATAGAGGCATCTGACCTTCACGTGAAAGGTAGGCTCAGAAGGTCCATGTCCCATGTCTGCAGCTGTCTTTCGGGCTTCAGCCCAGTTCTCCAACCATATCCGACCATCATGGATGGCCCCAACTTAGATTTGCTGACTTGTCTCTACCCAAGGAACTGTTTGCCACTTCCACTCACACCAGCTCTTCAAAACCATCCAAACATGCAGGGGGGGTCTGGGGGGTGTTCCTCCACCCATGTGGAACGAAAGCGTTGAGCCTTCCGTTCCTTTGATCTTGAAAAGGGCACCGCGTGGTGTTGAAGCTCGTTGGATTGGATGGGGCACATGCACAGTGAACATTATTGAACTGAAACCCATCTATTTATTTTCTGCCCATGCAAATTTGTTTGAATGTGTGTACCCTGGAAGCGTGCCTTGTGCGCACAAGGAAAAAGTTCCAGCAAACAGCGAGCAAAACAAATACAAGCATCCAGCTCCTAACCTCAAAGGCAAAAAAGGACGGGACATTGTTTTGAACAAAGTTCAAGCGTCCGTGATCGTGCTGCTGCTGTGCTGCTACAGCATCTCGAGGTTTTTCCAGAAGCTCTAGATCATCCTCTTCCTGACAAGCCGGAGGGGGAAATGAAGTCAGAAACTCTAACGCCTTGACCATGGTGGCCCAACCACAGGGTCACGTACCCCCCCCCAAAATGGTGGGGAGATGTTCTATCTGCTTGGATGCCTATGGATCCCTTTGCCAAGCGCATGCATCTGCATGCAATGCAAATAAACCAATACAGGCCTCACATCTCGGAGAAAACTATATAAACCTCTTGATTCTGCTGGAGCCAAGGCACATAGAAGAAGTCCTCAGTACCTTACGCAGAAATGATGCAACGCCATTGTCAGATTACACACCGGCCTTTAGTTTTGCTCTGGAAGGAGCCAAACCCATCCAAGACCTAGTTTTGAGCATTTGACCCCTTCCACTCCAGGACGACCTGAAACAATTCAAGAAACACTGTGGGAGCTCAGTCAATAAGGTGCAAACCAAACAAATGGGGCATGATGGGGCTGTGGCTGGGACCCGCAAGCCTCTATACTAGAGTCGCCTCATCTATTAATATATATACAGGGTTCACCACCTCCCTCTCCAGCCAAGAAGAACTGATTTGTAGGTGGCCTACCTGGCGTCAGTTCTCCGCCTCCCTGTGGAAACGAGGCTGAAAGCTGGCCAGGATGCAGGACAAGGTGACTGGCATGTGGATTAGTATCTCATCAATCAGGAAGAACTGTAGTTCTTGTCCATCGATGGCCTGGATGCGCATCAGTGCCCCAAACCCCAGCAAATCCCAGCACCATAGGAGCTGTCCCAGCAACTGCCACCGATTCGCAAACAAGCTGCTGCTTGTGACTTGTGAACAAAAAGAGACGACAACCTGCAACCTGCAAGTTTCCGAGTGTCCAGTGCTGAGAGGAAAAGACACAAGATTGAGGCCTCAATGCCTTCGATCGCCTCACCTGGAGCCGCTGCGAAAAAACGCGTATTCCGACGCAGGTTCCGACGGGCCAGGTGGGGAAACCATTCAGCCAAGTTGGGCCAAGGCGGGCGCCATCTATGCAAACATGCAAAAACACCAAGCAAATCCTGCTGTCTTCCTGAATGCTTTCCCGCTTCACTGAACACACGAATTCCACACCCACCTGGCTCCAGGGCTTCCATCGGGAAGTCCACCGGCGTTCGAGTGCGTCTTCCCTTCCGAGGGTGGGCGGGCGTGAAAAGAAAAGGCCGCCTGTTGTTTTTTGCTTTGCAGGGTGCTGCGAGGTTGGCATATGCCAGAATAACAGTGCTTTCTGACATATACAGTAAATAGCCCAGAGGCCCGGTGCCATTGTAAACTGCAGACCATCAATTGTCAGTTGTCTATCCCTTTTGCACTGCAAGCGAGCTCTGCCCTTAAGTCAAAAGTCCAGTCCGGCCCGGCGGTTCGCCTGGTTTGGACACCGTGTCACTCATCAGGTTGGATACAAAGGATATGGTACAACTTGGCCTGCTACATGGTCCAGCACATTTCTGGGCACAAATAAAATAAGCATATCATATATATATATATATATATCCGCCGACCCCGGCCTATAGCCAAAGCCTAGGCGGGGAGG